ATTTACAAACCCTGAGCTAGACACAGAGTGCTGATTGGTGTATTTACAAACCTTGAGCTAGACACAGAGTGTTGATTGATGTATTTACAATGCCTTAGCTAGACATAAAAGTTCTCCAAGTCCCCACTAGATTCAGGAGCCCAGCTGGCTTCACCTAGTGGATCCCGCGAAGGGGCTGCAGGCAGACCTGCCCGCCAGTCCCAAGTTGCGCCTGCACTCCTCAGCCTTTGGGCGGTCAACAGTACTGAGCCCAAGGGAGCAGGGGGCGGTGCTTGTTGGGGAGGCTCAGGCGGTGTTGGAGCCCACCGCGGGGAGCGGTTCAGGCATCGCGGGCTGCGTGATGATAATTTCTTTTGCTGTGCAGTAGTTCTTTAGTTTAGTTAGATCCCATTTGTCTATTTTGGCTTTTGTTGCCATTGCTTTTGTTGTTTTAGTCATAAAGTCTTTGCCCATGCCTATGTCCTGAATGGTATTGCCTAGGTTTCCTTCTAGGGTTTTTATGGTGTTAGGCCTTACATTTAAGCAATTCTCGTGCCTCAGCCTCCTGGGTAGCTGGGATTACGGGAGCCCACCACCACACCCGTCGAATTTTTGTAATTTTTTGGAAAGACAAGGTTTTGCCGTGTTGGCCAGGCTGGTTTCAAACTCCTGACCTCAAGCAATCTGCCTGCCTCGGCCTCCCAAGGTGCTGGGATTACAGGTGTGAGCCACTGTGTCCGATCATAATTATTTCATTATATATTACAATGTAATAATAGAAATAAAGTACATGATAAATTTAATGCACTTGAATCATCCCAAAATCATTTCTCCATATCCTGGTCTGTGGAAAAATTGTCTTCCTCAAAACTGGTCCCTGTTACCAAAAAGTTTAGGGACTGCTGCATTAAAACACACACACGAATCATTCCTTTATCAAATGTTAAATTTAAAGCAATTAGATAACATATAAGTACATATTCTGAGCCAAAGAAACCTTTATAATATTAATACAAACTACTTGTTTCTATTTTGATATAAACATACTATTTTTAAAACAAAAAGAAACTCTAATAGTTCAGGATAGAGAAGGGTGATTATTTTTACTCAGAAATGAAACCAGCCCCAGTCCCATACACAGTTGTTTTTGGATAAACATAGAAATTGACCCTTCTCCTGTTAAAGCTTGAAACTCCCATTTGTTTTTTCTGAGTTCCTTCCTCAGGAAAGGACCTTCAGGCCTCTCAAAAAAGTATCAAATAACTGAAACTCACCAGATCACTGCACCAGATGCCTCCTTGCTCCCCGGTAGTTCTTGTTTTCTTACAAATTGTTACATTTCCTCCCAGCTAAATAAACCCTTAATTTTAGTTAGGGAGACGGATTTGAGACTAAGTTCCCATCTTCTCTGCTGCCAATTAAAGCCTTCTTCCTTGGTAATAATATTCCTCATCTCATGATTGGCTTTGTGTGTGGTGAGCAGCAGGACCTAGACTGAACCCCTGGTGTTTTGGTAACAGAACTATTTCCTGAGGTAAACTAAGAAATGGGTTACAAACATATAATATGGGTAACATAATCATTGCTCAAAATTGTTCTCTGTGATTTTCCTTTTGGGCCAAAGAGAATAATTAGCTAGGTTTGGTAGGCCAGGAACAGTTTTGTGAGCCTACTGAAATTATGTAGGATTTATATCTTTAAACTATGAAGGCCAGGCACGGTGGCTCACACCTGTAATCCCAGCATTTTGGGAGGCTGATGCCATTGGATCACCTGAGGTCAGGAGTCCGAGACCAGCCTGGCCAACATAGCGAAATCCCGTCTCTACAAAAACTACAAAAATTAGCTGGGTGGCACATGCCTGTAATCCCAGCTACTGGGGGGCACCGAGGCAGGAGGATTGCTTGAACCTGGGAGGCAGAGGTTGCAGTGAGCTGAGATCGTGCCACTACACTCCAGCCTGGGCAACAGAGTGAGACTCTGTCTCAAAAAAAAAAAAAAAAAAAAAACCAGAAGGCAAAAACTTCATGACACTGGATTTGGCAATCTTGGATATGATACCAAAGGGACAAGCAGCAACAAAAACAAAAAAGTCCAACAGACAAATTGGACTTAATGAAGATTTGCTGGGCATGGTGGCTCACGCCTGTAATCCCAGCACTTTGGAAGGCCAAGGAGGGCAGATCACCTGTCAGTTGTTTGAGACCAGACTTTCCAACATGGTGAAACCCCATGTCTACTAAAAATACAAAAATTAGCTGGACATGGTGGTGGGCACCTGTAATCCCAGCTTCTTGGGAGGCTGAGGTGAAATAATCGCTTGAACCCAGGAGGCGAAGGTTGCAGTGAGCTGAGACCACACCATTGCACTCCAGCCTGGGCAACAAGAGTGAAACTCCGTCTCAAAAAACAAAAAAAAACAAAAAACTATGATCTGGAAGTAAAGATAGTTTTTCACTACTCCCTACCAACTGTAAGCATTTTTTTTTTCTTTTTCAGAAATTAAAAAAAAAAAAAAAAAAAAAAAACCAGAAGGCAAAAACTTCATGACACTGGATTTGGCAATCTTGGATATGATACCAAAGGGACAAGCAGCAACAAAAACAAAAAAGTCCAACAGACAAATTGGACTTAATGAAGATTTGCTGGGCATGGTGGCTCACGCCTGTAATCCCAGCACTTTGGAAGGCCAAGGAGGGCAGATCACCTGTCAGTTGTTTGAGACCAGACTTTCCAACATGGTGAAACCCCATGTCTACTAAAAATACAAAAATTAGCTGGACATGGTGGTGGGCACCTGTAATCCCAGCTTCTTGGGAGGCTGAGGTGAAATAATCGCTTGAACCCAGGAGGCGAAGGTTGCAGTGAGCTGAGACCACACCATTGCACTCCAGCCTGGGCAACAAGAGTGAAACTCCGTCTCAAAAAACAAAAAAAAACAAAAAACTATGATCTGGAAGTAAAGATAGTTTTTCACTACTCCCTACCAACTGTAAGCATTTTTTTTTTCTTTTTCAGAAATTAAAAAAAAAAAAAAAAAAAAAAGCAGTGCTCTAGTTTCTGATCAATTGATAAAACTTCAGGAAGGTGTTAAAGAGGAAAGAAACTATCCGGTGATAAAAGCATACCATAAGCAATTACAAATCCCTTAAATACACACTACTTCTCAGGCATACTCACCAAGTTAGCAGTGACAGGCTTATTGCAGGATGGTAGACACCAATGTTAAGTACCTTAGTGGAGTAGTTGAAAGGGCAATACCTCAATGAGCCTTGTCAATACCTAGAGTGGCTCTTGATCTCCACAGTACCTATAAATTGCACTGTACAACTGAACATATATCTGAACATTGTCTCGATTTTGCTCCTTGCTATTTCAGTAGCAGTTGCTGCAACTGGGCTGAGTGTCCAGATGTTGGACCTTCTCTGACACTAACTGGCCCAATGCTGGATACAAAGTCATTACTCAGTTAACACACAGAGCTGGATTGGTACCATTTTTGTAATGGACAGAATAAAAAAAAGCACAAGAAGATGCAGCAGAGACAGAGAAGAGGAAGAGAAGAAGAGGCTGTATAGGGTACCTCCATTATTATAACCTAATAGGAAGGGAACCCTCTTTTTTTTTTTTTTTTGAGATTGAGTCTCACTCTGTCGCCCAGGCTAGAGTGCAGGGGCGCAATTTTGGTCTACCACAAACTCCACCTCAAGCAATTCTGCCTCAGCCTCCCCAGTAGCTGGGATTACAGGTGCACACCAGCTCCCCCGGCTAATTTCTGTAGTTTTTTAGTAGAGACGGGGTTTTGTCATGTTGGCCAAGCTAGTCTTGAACTCCTGACCTCAGGTGATCCACCTGCCTCAGCCTTCCAAAGTGCAGGATTTACAGACATGAGCCACCACGCCTGGCCAGGAATGCTTTTTCTATGAAATCAATGAAACTAGAAAATCCTCTTAAGGATCAGAGAATATAACCAGAAAACTTACCCAGAGCCTGAAGGAATACTGAGCATCTCTTTGATATTCCAGACATTAAAATTCATTTCTTACAGTTATACCTATTAGAAAGAAAAGATGAATATTAAGAAAGTTAATAATTTTTTCCAAATATTACTAGTGACTATTATGTGTACATGAGGACATTCCAGCAGCTATATTCCCATCCAAGTTGTGGAAAAAAAATTTTTTTTTGAAATGGAGTTTTGCTCTTGTCACCCAGTCTGGAGTGCCGTGGCTCGATCTCGGCTCACTGTAACCTTTGCCTCCTAGGTTCAGGCAATTCTCCTGAGTAGTTGGGATTACAGGCACCCGCCACCATGCCCGGCTAATTTTTGTATCATGCCACTGTCTCAAAAAAATTAAATAATAAATGGAAACACAAAACCATTTATATTTGCACCCCCAAAAAAGAAATGCTTAGGTATAACAGTGACAAAATATATACAACATATATATGAGGAAAACTACAAAACTCTGATGACAGAAATCAAATTAGAACTAAATGGAGAGGCCAGGCGCAGTGGCTCATGTCTGTAATCCCAGCACTTTGGGAGACCGAGGCAGGCGGATCACTAGGTCAGGAGATCAAGACTATCTTGGCTAACACGGTGAAACCCCGTCTCTACTAAAAATACAAAAATTACCCAGGCATGGTGGGACGTGCCTGTAGTCCCAACTACTTGGGAGGCTGAGGCAGGAGAATTGCTTGAACCCGGGAGGCAGAAGTTGCGGTGAGCCGAGGTCATGCCACTGCACTCCAGCCTG